GACTTTGGTTTTCAAATAGTTCATCCTGAGATTTTAATTTCTGAAGCTAGGAATGCAAAGCAGGACGGTGACGAAGATTGGGGGTTTGATATTGTCATTGACTGCACTGGGGATCCTAAGACTTTGGAACAAGGAGTTCAATGGTTGCGTCAAGGCGGGAAGTTTCTTCTTTTTGGAATCTCTCCTGCTGGATCCGAAGTTAAGCTTGATCCTCACGAGGTGTATGCTAAGGAACTGAAAATTATAGCATCCAGAATAAATCCTTTTACCTTTAATTCTACCATGCAAATACTACAGGACATGGGAGAGCGATATTTGAGTTTTGAAAAGCTAGGGATGCGCACTTTTCAACTTCAGGAATTTACAGCAGCCCTTGAAGTCCAACGCAGTGGGGAAATTTCAAAAGCAGTTTTTGAAAATTGATTAATTTGTAAGTTTGATTTAGCATAAGTCAAGGTCACAGAATCCTAAAATATAAATTTGTCAGGCCTGGGTAGTCAGTTGGTTTGAATCTGGGCCATAGAAAGTTATTGAAAATATCTGAAAATTATATTTTTAGATCACACCAAAGATGGGATTCTGTGGGTATAGCACATTGGGGAAAAGTTGAGAAACAGATAGGAATAACCCACAATAATCCAGTTCACAATGTGACAGTGAGGTTGAGGGTTGGGGTTACCATAGCTACAGAACTGCAAGAGCCATTATACACTTTATCAGAGACGAGGGGAATGTTACATTTACAGGAATAATTATTATGAAAATAATAATAACTGAGGTCAACTTTACAGTTTTGACCACGACTCACTTTTTTCGTACAATACTACATTTCATTTGTAATTGAGCTCATGATCTATGAAAAGCAAGATGGAAGGAACAACGAGCATGTGTTGAAGAATCAACCACAAATAAAAAATGTTCATGTGCAATATTTTGGGTGACAAGAAGACTTCTACCATTGTCCTGTCCTGTTCATTTGCTTAAAATGTAGTTATGAATCGTTGTTCGTTGTCAAATAAAGGGAGGCATTGAAAGGAGTGCTGCATAATTTATGATTCACTTCAAGATTCTCTTGTTAAACAGCACAAGTACAGATGTTGCATCAAAAGTCACTTTCCCACACTCCTTCTAGTTTAATTCAACCTTGAAGTGTCACGCAAAACATTGCAGATGAGAAAAAAAAAAATAGTGAAAATGGTGAAAATTAATTGGTGAAACATAAACAACCAAGTATACACATAGTTCATGTATTTCATTTTTTCATCTTTCTGAAAAGATCCTTGTTTTTAAAGAGACTGTAACACATCCTTGGATCAAAAATAGGAAGTTATTATAACAGCGTACATTGTAAAAAATTCATTTGTACTATTCGGCTTTGCATGTACAAAATAAATGTTTGCAGTTTCTGATGTGTGAATTTGCATGTATCAAAAATATACTCCAATACGAAAAAAAAACATTTGCAAATGTGCATTTATCAAAAATATACTCCAATTAAAAGAATATTTGTCAGGAGTTTTTACATTTATGTACATGATGTTTTTTACACCTTCATAATATACTTCTAGTGATCAACCAAAATTTGGCATTTCAGTTCACCTCAATGCACTCCATAACTTTTTAATACTTCATATGCCAGACAAGGTAATAATTTTTCTTTCATCTTCCATTACTTTTTGCCATTCTTGAAAAACTTTATCAGAAAAGATGACTGTTTCTTGTCCACAAAAACTGTGCATCACATTTGCAGATTTGCATCTACTGAACAACTCTAGGAAGATAGATTCATGATATATCAGCAACTATACATGAAAAGCTAGAACATGGCTAGTCTAATGTGGCATTTTATCTCCACCAAGAGACTTGACCAATACCTTTCAACTCTCAAATATTGGACTCAACATCTTTGCAAGTACAAGATGGTAGCCATCTTAGCCTTCCATCACAAAAAGATTTCAAAACACATAAGTTATTGAATAAATTTTTTTTCATGGATTTCTCACAAATTCTGAAAGGCATCGCAAGTCCCTTGGCAGCAATGCAATACTACTAACATTAAACCAGACCTAAATGATTTTCCCATCAAGTATTTGATGTATCTTTCACTATGAATAATTGAAATATCCACCACTAACCACCAACAATGAGGTGAATAGTTGTTTTAGTATATACTAAAACAGTGAGACAGTATACACCACCAAAAATTGATTTCAATTCATACATTCCAGCAACGATTCCAACATTTTCATGTGCAGAAGTGAACAAGTGAGGTTATGCAAGATTAATTTGCATTTGTAAACAAAACCTTTCTCATTCGTTTTTATCGATAAACTCCGGGTTACAAACTTAAACCATTGCCTTTAAACAAGGCCAAACCAAATTTAGTCCCTTTCTTTGTGTTTTCAGAGACTGTTTCGTCGTTAATTTGAGTGATTTCTTCGCTTGTCATGGATGCAAACCGGGACGTCATTTTTTTCCCGAGTTGCTCAAAGGTAAATAGCAAAGGATATTCGGAGTTTGACTAGCCAATCAGAGTGCGCCTTCAACGCTATCCTCTGTTTTAGTATATACTAAAAATCACTATACTTAGCTACAGTATGAATAGGTCAGGCACACCCAAATAGATTCTACTGATAAAACAATCTGTAAAACATTAAAATTCATTGTGTTCTTACCTGACTTCTATTCTTTTTTCAGAAAGGACACTGAAATGTCCAATCACACCAATTTTTTTTTTTTTTTTAAAAACTTTGTACAAGAAAATACACTATCCAAAAATGCAAGTGTTAGAGATGCGTTGAACCTTAATCCAGGTTGTGCAAAGGGTAGATAATGCTATCTGCTGGATAAATCTCTGTCCAGTGGATAGCAACATTCGCCCTTTGAACAATTGGGCTGTGCATGTGAAGGCCTCTTGTTAAATGACTTTTTCATAAGACTGAAATATTAGATAGGAAAATTCATTACTTGTCCCGTGAATTCTGATATTAAACGCATTGCAAAGCAATGTGTGTGATATTGCTTTTCAAGTGCAATTTAACACGGAATTCATGAGTCAAGTAGTGAATTTTCCTTGAATCACATAATTGAATAAAAATGAGAAAAAAAAGAAAACAGCATTACTTATGGTTGTTATGTATACATAGATGTGAAAAAATACCACTTAGCCTTGTTTTCAAAGTGCACACTAAATACCTTGTGTCGTTAACGGATCAGAAAGCAGGGCTCGACACTAACGGTAGCCGACCAGCCACAGGCTAGTAGAAATTCAGTTTTGGCCGGTGGTTTTCCATTCCCACCAGCCAGTTTGGCTAGTAAACAAACTGAAATTGTCGTACCATCTGAGATGTCATTAGCCACTGGGCTAGTAAGTTGAAAAGTTAGTGTCGAGCCCTACAGAATGTAAGATTTTATTTAATGATGCCATTTTATCTAGAATTAAATTTGGTTAGTTTCAAATACCTTAGACCTTTCTCATAAAGGATACCAAATAACTTACTAAATATTATAACTAAATATTTTTTTACCCTTAAGGCTTTAGAATAATGGAAAGTTCAAAATAGTGCACACCAAAAATCTCAATAAGGTTTAGTCCCAGCCAACAGATTTTGTGTTAAGTCAAATAATATTCCTTGTGATCAACAATTTGCTTGGAAATAAGTTTTTACTGTATGAAAAAATACCTAATTGGTCACTAAAGGATACACAGAGGGTAAGAGCTACATGTTTTGATAATAGTTACATTTTAATGTTAAGGATGCACCATATGTCCATTCTCACTAACTGTGGATAACGAAGAAACTGTTGAGGTTGGACGAGAGAAATTACTTAATTTGCTAGGAACTCTTGTAAAAGGGACACCTGTGTAAAAAAAAAAAAATTTTACAAAAATTTTGAAACATGAACAATCATGTGACTTAAACACAACCTGGATGACTGCTGAGGGAATATTTAAGACTGAAATATATTATTAAGGAAGGCCTCTTTTGCCTGCAGTTTCAATTATACCAAAGCTGTGCATAAAAAAAAAGTGTGGTTAAGTGAAAATTTAACTGGTTTATCACAGATCAGAATCTTAAAATTTTCCCGATGAAATAATTAGGTTTTGTTACCAGCAAGAGTAAAATAATTCCCAAATTTGGTAATTTTTTTCTCACAGTTTGCCACTGTTTCCTTATAACTACCGAGTGGATGTATAGTAAAAAAAAAGCCTTTTGTCCCAAGAATTGAGAACATCTTGTCATTCAGGACTCCTTTAGATATGTACAGTCAAAAGTTTAACTTATTATTAGTACTCAGAGAAACAGATTGCACTTACCGGTACTTTTTTTTTACTTGTTTCTAGAAATTCTACATGCTAGAGCAGCAATGACTCCGCCAATTAAGATCCCCACTATAAATATGATGACACATATTCCAACAAAAAGTCCTCTGCTTAACTGCAATTCATCACCAGAATTAACTATGAAAAAGACAAGACAGTGGTTAAATTGACTGTCAGACAGTGCTCTCTGAATAAATAATCTTTGATTCAGAAACCACTAACAGTAAACACAATGTTCAGGGTTAAACCAGGAAACGTTGCCAACTTTTTTTTAAACGGTAAGTGATTTTGAGAAACCACTTTTAACATACACTGTAGTTGCAAAGTTTCACTGTCATGCAATTATATAAGAGATGTGAACATCATGTAGTGGTAAAAATGTAGATGTTTAAAACCTAACATATATTACTTCCGCATTCTTGTGTGCAAGTAGAATAAAAGGTTGTATTTTTACACTGTTGTGCAAGTTTGTCATTCATGAATAAGTTAGCTTGCGTAAGCCAACCCCTGCCCTCTAAAAGAAAATTGGGAGGAGGCCCCTTCCTGATTTTCTTTTGGAGGTCAGGGGGCAGCTGTACAGAGGCTAGAATAGGTTGGTCAAAAATTAACAGATAATTACAACTAGTACTGGTATTTTATGGACAAAAGATTCAAACTTTGCATACCTCCAGTTGTGATTACTCCAGAGGGAAGACCTAAGATAGACATCAAGGAGATAATAAGAAATATTGAACTTTACATACTGTACAACAGGTAGGGATGATGACTTCAATTTAAAGTCAATTAATTTTGCCTTAATTTCGTGTTGGTTGCTGCAGTTAATATCTCTTCATGAGGCACCCTCAAGATAAAAAGAAGTCTCCTATGGAAAAAGATCTCATTTTCAATGTGCATCAGGTGAAGATTGTAAAGAACATTATCTGTGGGGAACTTTTATCTAGCTGGACCAAAAGTTTGAAAAAGATCAGTGTTTTGAATACAGGTTTTCTTTTTTAAGGTAACACCTCTTCATTGCTGTTATGTAATTTACATATATTTGTAAAAGTGCATGTACAGCACACATGTCAATACAATGGAAGACGTAGAAACAGTTAAGTAACCAATACATTTTGAATGTGGCAGAAAAAGTACAGTGCTTGTTATATATTTCAAAACAATGTAAACACTACCAGGTGTAATTGGTGCTTGACTATCTACAGTGGGATCTAAAAGAAAAGGAAGGAAAGAAAAAAACTTGATCAATCAAAGGATGGAAAACTCCTCCTCAATGGCAGCTAACAGCCTGGAGGATGGAAATTATTTCAATGCAACCCAACATCAACTACAAATCACATATGTAAGTTTTAACCCCTGACACCCTAACATAAGTATACATATCAGGGCTCAACACTAACGGTAGCCCACTAGCCACAGACTAGTAGAAATTCAAAATTCAACATATGACAATCTGCTGTCTTTCCTTGCACTTAGGTGGCACGGAAAGCCGTAAAAATCTTGAACAAAAGCTCATCTTTCAAACCAGCAGTCTAAATCCCACTGGGATCAACGAACGCTTTTCATTCCACTAATTTATTCATGTGTTTCTCGTTGCCATGCTC